TATAAATGTGCCACAATTTGTTTGGCGCTTCCTAATTTTCTGGAAAGAGGGTGGTGGGCTGGAGTGACATTTCTCCCACTCACGGTAATCCCTGTGCTAGTTTACAGAGGATCCTCTTCAAAGCTCACAGTTCTGGCTTTAAAATCACTTGCCTGGCACGGCCGCCTGAAGCAGCTGTGCTGGGGGATGTGCTTTCCCAGTAGGACTGAGCAAACCCCCAGGAACAAACACAACCTGGTCCAGTGGGAAAGATGTTTGGACTTGTGAGGAGCATCCGGAGTGCTTTGATCTCTTTCCAGATGTTCCTCTGAGTTGCATATGAAGTTGGTGTCAGTTTGAGCTGTGAAGCAGCCAGGACTAAATGACACTCATGCAGTCACCAGGGAGGAGAAAAAGGTGATCAGAGGGTTAAAGATTGATGGCCTGAAGCTTGTGAGCATGGGCCAGCTCTTGCGTGAACCTGACTTTGATTTATGGCTTAGGTTGGCCCTATGCGGTGGTCATCAACAACCTGGCAAAACCTAGTGGTTTTCATTACATCTTCCTTGAAGATTTTGGGTTCCTGGGAATCCAAAACTTGCTCTGCAAGCCCCAGAGGAGCAAGAGTTGCGACAGTTTTTCAGGATGCCCCACGGCAGGAGTGGGCAATTATTTTGGGCGGAGGGCCGCTTACCAAGTTTTGGCAAGCCATCGAGGGCTGCGTGACAGGCAGCCAGGGGCAGATAAATATTAATTTTCTGAATTTTTTTAGGGGTCCCACGGGCTGGATAGAATGGCCTGGTGGGCCGCATCCGGCCCGCGGGCCGCATTTTGCCCACCCTTGCCCTGCGTGCTCTGACTCCACTTTCTCACTGCACAGGTAAGGTTGAACTTGCTGAAGCATTTACACTGGGACTTTTCACAGGAGGCTAAGGGACCCAGCCTCCAAATTCCCACTAATGTTCAGTTCAAGTCCCCATTTTAGACCTCCCATGCTGCCTGTAGTTAGCACCTTCTTGTTCAGTGCAGCCCTTAGACTGTCAGCACTCCACGTTTAAGATGTTTGACAAATCAAGGAAGTGCCACAAAGAATTGGTTGCTTTAGCAAGCATTTCCTGCCTGCCATCACCTAGGGTGCAGTCTCAGGTACTGAGACTAGAAGCCAATTGCTGAATCCCCTAACAAAAGGTTTGGCCACTTCTACAATGGTGCCCTGCCACCTTGCTCAAGACCTTGGTTTCTGATGTGTTCAACAAGCAGCTTGAGACAGCCCTCACCCCATCTTGTTCTGGCATTGAAAATGCATATTAATATATATGGCTCTCTGTCATATATGTATAGGCAGGCAATGTTCTTTGAGTAGATGTGATATCTTTTATTAGGCCAAATGAGTAGCTGGAAAAAAACTATCTGCTTTCATTGTTTCCTTTGATTCCTTCTCATATTCTTTATCTCTGGTGAAGCCACAACCTATCGCCACTCAGGTTATATCCTCTCTGTACCTCAGAAATGACCATTGCTAAGCATTGCTAATGTCAAAAATAGGGCTTGTCTATCCATGATGGGGCCAAGCTAAAATCCTGTTAAGACAGCCTTCCAGCCTTGGTAAAAAGCAGAGTATAGTTTTGTTCTCAAATCTTGCTTCGTAGATGAGGCGCTACCATGGAGAAGCCAGGAAGGTTGTGGTACAGACCAGCCTTGCATCTGCTCTGTCAAATCTTAAATTGGAATGAGCATCACCGTGTTGACTTGTGCAACGTCTGTTGTGGACTTGTGTAATGTGCTTTTTCCAGTGCTCAGAAGATTCAGTGCTTTTAAAATACCTGTATCACCCAACTTTTAGGTTAATTTATCTGCCTTGTGATGCTGCTGTTGGGTGGATAATTCCAGCCGCTCCTGCCGAGCTTAGCCCATTGATGAAAGTAGTACCACAATGAGGCAGAAGGAACATCCAGCCCGATTCACAGCCTCGATTGTATACACTTATAAGCAGGCTTTAAAGAGAGGGTATCACTATCTTCAGTATCTACGAACTCCAGCGATTGCTCATGCATCGGGCTTGCATTGAACTCTGTTTCACAGAAGGCGTGAGCTCCGTGGAAATAATAGAGGAGCCCCTGCCTGGGTCTATAGGGGCAGCTAAGGACAGAGTATCAGGTTCTGCCCAATATGAGCAACATCAGCTTGCTTTGTTCATCTTAATGAAACCTGAGCTACTTGGGAGGAGACGAGACACTGAAGTCTGTGGAGGAACACAGAGTGCTTGAGCAAAAATCAACCTTGAGTACGCTGGTTTTGGCTGTCCCCAATCTTTGCTTGCATGCTGCCCCTTACTGACCGATCTGGGCACTGCACTTGTGTTTGAAATGCTTGTCTTCGTGTTATCCTGACGTGACCCGATGCCAGGTGCACCCGAGTGGGATGGCGTTTTCTCCTTGTCTTGACTTAGATGAACTTGTCTGTCTTTGCCGGGGATTTTTTCTAGGCGGCGGCTGCATCTTACTCTCTCGCTTTCACAGAGCAGATGCATTCTCATACTGTTGAATAATCCTAATCCTAATTGGGACGAAAGTCTTCCCCAGTTCAAGTCCACTGAAACCAGTAGTTATATCAGAGCTAAGCATGCCGTGTGGTATTGCTTACAGCTTACAGCAGAACAGAGCTGCGCCTCTTGGATGTTAATGTTTTCCCATGGATGAAGCTGATTAGCCGAGAAAACGCTTTCACATATATGACCAATCTGAATCTCAAGCAGGTTTCATGCTGCTGTTCCTCATCAGATGTATTTCCCATTAAATCCTCCACCTGATTTTTCAGTCATTACCTTGAAATCTCTGTCTGTCTCTCTGCCTCTGTTTTAATGCTGCTTGGCCTTATGATGGAAGAAAGCCTTGTAGATGTGAAAATACAACCTCAGAGCACCGCAACAGCTGAACAACCTGTGTTCATCTTGTACTGTTTCCTACTGCATGCATTTAAATCTGATTCCTTTTTTCCCCTCTCTTTTCCCTTTCTTCTTTTTCTTTGAGGTCTGACTCATGATTCCCTTTTTTAATGCTTAGGGTGATAATGTGGTAATACTTCATCAACTTCTTTCGAAAAATAAAACATTTTTGTTTTCATTGAAGCTGTTGCTTAAACAAAACCACCACTGTTAATTGTGGCTCCATTCAAGAGGGAAGTAGGTAGAATAAAATGTATTTAGTGGCACACACAGGAACAAGCCATTTTCTGTTCTTTTGAGCCTGATTTTTAATTTGGCGCAATCTTGTTTGAATGGTTAAGAACAAAGTGAGGGAATCGTCCTTTCAAATAAAACAATGGAGTTTATATTTAGCAATTGCCTCTTTCAGTGAAAGAATTAATAGGCAGACACTGCATGAAGTGGGCACAGAGCCCTTTATTTTTTTCCATTGTTAGGACTATATCTTCATTTTTCCGGACTTGTCCCCTCTCCTAACATCCCTGTGACAGCTATAATAATTATTTGCATGGACCAGTAGAGAAATGGAGAATAACTAATGTGTTTTTTAGCTAACTTTCCATGCAGTTGTGATAAGCACCCAGCCTCCATTGGCGAGCAGCAGGCACCCTGCAGACCACCTACCAGTCACCCCTTAGTTACAAGCGGAGATCGTGGACGTAGGACAGGTTTACACTGGTGTAATTTGCATCTGTTTTGTACAGTGGTGCAAATTTAAACTGGGACCTGGAGTGGACAGGGAATTGTTATCTTGGAGCAGTTGATACTATTTGTGCTAGTAGAGAGTCTCACCACTAGAGAAGGCAGGGAGACGTACTGTATTTTCTCGCATACCACATGATCCCAAACGAGACGCTCATGTTGTTTTCGGGAAGGCAGAATGAAGAAGAAAAGATTTTCCCAGAGTTATGGCTGCCTAGAGCATGGGCCGAGCCTAATTGTCGGGTCATTCACCCTCCCTTTCCGGCTAAAGTCTGGTCTCGGGGGGTGGATCTCTTACTTCGAAAAGAGCTGGAAAGTCTGCAAGGTTGTGAAACTGGAGGGGGAAAAAAAAGACCTGGTGAAACAGTCGCTTGATTAATGGAGCCTCCGTTAAAAAGGGGAGACAGTTGTTAATACCTGGGGAGTGACAAGCAATGAGCCCTGAAGTCACCCGACTCCCTCACCTGCCTGAACAGAGATATCATTGCTGCTGCTGGTTGGTTTTGGAGCAGAATCAAAGTGGGGTGCTTGTATTCCAGGCAGAAAAATCAGCTTCTCCACTGAGGACATGCACCCCATTTTTTTGGACAGGGGGTGGATTTTGGGGGAGAATTTGCATGTGATCTGTCTGAACGTTTGATAACATTGTGGGTTTTTTTTCATGAACAGCTGTAGGGTAACAACCCTAGGACTGTTATTTGCATTGGAGGATGGATTAGTGCTGGTCAGATGGCCCCTACGTGGGTGTACATTATCCTGGTGCTGTTTTTCTGCAGGTAACTCCTGCACCAGATTCTTGGAAGTCCCACTGATGTCGGGGTTTCCATGGTGTGTCCAGGCCTAAGAAGCCAATGCCACTGCCCGGCTTGTGTTAGCAAACCTTTTAACTGTAGGCATTGCAAATAAAAACCAACAACCCAGGACTTCTCTAGGACACCGTGGCTGTCCATCATGGTCACCTAGGCTGGGACATAGATTTGTCTACTCTAAAAGGTCTGGTTGCAACCAAGTGAAGTATGTTAGACTCTCCATTAATGGCTAAAGGCTTAAGATGTAAAGAGTCAATATGACTTCCTCTCTGAAAGACACTTATACCTACACGTACTAGCCAGTTCCTTCTCGTAATAGAAAAGGATGTTATATGCAATCACATGATTTCCAGCAATGCTGTGTTGTTGGCTTTTTAACTTTTTTGACAGTCTTGTAGGTATTTTGATTGCTTTTGTAGGTTGTGTTTTTTTTTCCTGCAGTCTCCTGTTGTGATTTAAAAGGAGGGTGCTTTAAAAATATTGGTACTTATTACTCATCTTTTTTTTCCCCAATTCTTTTTCCCTAGCTGGCACCTGAAAACACTCTGATGTCCTTCCAAAAGGCAGTGGAGCAGAAAATATATGGCGTGCAAGCTGACGTAGTGATAAGGCAAGTCTGTTTAACTTAGCTTCAAATGCAAAGGCTCTCTTTAGCACTGCGGCCAAACCAAATCCTTGCATCTGCTTTCTTTTGGCTCCCGTTCTGTATTTTGCCTCTTCTTTTTTGCTGCCACTTACGTAGTATCCTGTGGAAAGGGCTTTGTGGTGAATACGGTCATGTACCTCTGCTTGTAATTCAGTAATTTGATTGGCATTTTTCTGGGGATTATCGAAGGAAGCTGGACTTTCCGTGTAAACAAGCAACTAATCCTCATTTCATGGCCCAGAATTCACTACAAGATCCCTTTCTAGATAGGTTGCTTATTACAAAGAAAGAAAGCAAGAGTCCTGCATAGACTTGAATCTCTGCTTATTGATCTGGCAGCCTTCTCCAGAGGATGACAGCAGAACTTACCTATAAGGAGCTACAAGCAAGTTTCATTTGCAGTGAAGGAAAATGAGGCTCCTCAATTATTTCCTTGCATTGTAACCTGCCACCCCGCTTATGCCAGCCTGGCTCAATTTTCTTGAGAACTTACCCGGCAATCCACAAAATCATGTTGCTGTCCCTTTGCTATGATGCTGAGGATAGAATATAATGAGATTCTTTTGTTGGCCTGTTCAAGTAAAAAAATCAGTTCAAGCAGACAAGGGTTTGAGTGCAGTGTTTGAAAGCATAGAGTTACACTGAAGTAACTCAGGCTTTCACTCTAAGGGAAGTTTTCTACATTTACTATCCTCCTGTCTCCTACACTTCTTAAATACCAAGTTTTGAGATGTGTAGATGGATGCATAACATGTGTGAAGGAATAGCAGTTCCTAGTGGCCATCTCTGAGCTTTAATAAGGTCAAAAATATGCGGTGCTTTCTGAAAGAATGTAGAGGAAATAATAGTAATGGTAGTCATGCAGGTCACCACTGGCTGTTGTGATTTGATGTTGATGATTGACCACTATTACCATTATTTGCATTGGAGAGTGGGTTAGTGCAGGTCAGGTATACTTGAAAGCAAAATGGACAGGGTGGAAGAGGAGAAGGAAAAGAGCACAACTGAGCCACGTGAGGATTGGGTAGGAAGTCAGAACCCAATAGCACAGGAGATGGGAAGGCTTATAAAGGCACAGACCTGTCCCGGGTGCATCTTGCAGGGCTATAAACACCAGAGCCGAGTTGAATCCGTTGGAGATGGGTGACCTTGATTTCCTTTGCAAGCCTAGATGCTAAATCTGATTTCCCACCCCGCACCCTAGAGAAAGATGTGGAATTTTGTTGAATTTTGCCACACCAAAAATCCATTGACCCTTTCTCTGTTGTCTAATAGTGACACAGGCAGTTGCATAGGGCACTGATCAGGATGGTATCTGATACTAAGAAATGGCTTGAAATTCAAGTACAAGAAAAATACATAATTTCTATTTTTAATCTCCTAGGAGGGTGGCTTTTAACTGAAAGGAAGCTGTCTGCAGTGAAAGATAGGCTTCTGGGTCTAGGAGTTCAAACATCAAGGATTCTTCTTTTCCCATTGCTTGAGAAGAAATGGATTTAAAAACTAATGGAATTTTTTCCTCTGTAATGGGAAGTCGTTCTGCAGCGATGGAGGACAGCACAAGGGTGGTGATGGCTTAATCCTTTTTGAATCATTCAGAAGTTAGCTCATTAACTGTGGCAAAGATAAAGCCTTTAGAAGCCCTGACTGCCTGCAAGAGATTATTTTGTTTTGTGCATCCAGGCTGATCCTGAGCACTTTGCTTAATTATTCAAAAAGGACCCTTTTTAGATGAGCAGAGCTTGATGGTATCGCTTAAACACTCTGAGCGGTCCTCTCATTGCTGTACTGAAATGGGGCAGCCTTATGTCGGTTGGGCAGGTATCTGGTGCCATCTACAGGAGAATCCAAACTTGTAAAGCCGTTTTCTTCCGCTGAAATGGCGTTGTTTCCCCTAGTAGGAAGGTGAACTTGCTACACATTTTCGTGATATCCTGTCCTGCCCTACTGCTGGCTTATAAAAGTTATGGCCATCTCAGAACATTTATAAAGCTAGGGTTTTACTTATCCATGTGGTGCTTTTTATCGCTACTGCCTATATCAGTGGTTCTCAGTCTTTTTAGACTCAAGGCGCCCCTTGCTAGACTCAAGACCTCCCTCAAAAAAATGCCAAGTTGTAGCTTCCACTGGTTTCTTGACTACAGAAAAAATACCAGGCAATTGTTTTTTCTGTTGCAAAACACTTGGAAAGTCTAAAATAAGTGGGAATGTTTTGACACTGTGGATTTCTATTTGAAATCTCAGGATTTATCTTTTGAATCCAAGGGGCATCTATACATGCAATCACCATTTACACTTGTGGTGCTATTAGGTCAGAGTAAACTAATGAACTCTTCCATTGGATAGTTCTGCCCAAGGGGGACTGGTGCCTCTTGAGTGGGGGGGGCCCTTGCCCCCCGCCCCCCCCCCCGGC